ACACACACACACACACACACACACACACACACACACACACACACACACACACACACACACACACTTTTCCCTGGTTAAAGTGCATTTTAAGATGGGCTGGTTCTATGATCCGCTGCACATCATAAACTGTGTTTGTGGCTCTTCATCTGCTCTGATTTTAAATTAATACAAATCAAATAAGTTGCATCAAATTTCTTCCCTGTTTTGCACCTTTTCCTACAAGCAGGTTCTACAGAGACTTCACCGGTTCTGGTGTCAAAACAGTTTCTGAAAAGATTTCTGTTTCAAGTCATTTCCATTTGGAGCCAAGATTGTATTTAACTTGAACCACACATCACATTTGCTTTACTTCACATCCGTTTATGGAATTTATTTACTTTGGTTTTTAAACAGTTGATAACATTTCTCATGAGTCCCATTAGAGGGATCCTGAGTACCACCAGTGAAGTCAAACAATGAAGGTTTTATGGGTTAGGTCTACATTATCTCATCAAGACAGAAAAATACAGTAACTGTGATGGTGGACGATGTGGATTCCTTTGGGACTTGTCTACTTTTTTGCTTGCGGTGCTCAAGAACAGGACTCCAAGGTGCAACCCTCACCTACGGATATGAACCATTGATCATGACTGAAAGAACAATTGAGACAAGCAGCAGCAATGAGCTTCCTCTGAAGGCTGGGGTTAGCCTCAGAGAGAGTGAGGCACCAATAAAACCATTTCTCCTTTGTGTCGAGATGATTCATATGAAAAAAAAGAAGGAATAAACATAGCAGTCTTTAATTGTTTATCACACCATTTGGATACTTAGATACAATGAATTGTTCTTTTAATAGTCTACATAAATTTGGCCACTTAAATTTACAAGAACACCAAAGCAGAAAATCTAAACACCATTTAGTGACAAACAATCCACCAGAGAACTGTCCGGTTTTAAAAAGGCATTAAGATTAAACACATATTTAATTCACCCAAGCTTTCCAAACGTTATTCAGTTGGATATTTTTTGCATTAAATTAACAAACAATAGGAAATAAATGCTTTAAATAAATTTTAAATATATATTCACGTTGTGTATTAGCAGACTTTGCACCCATGTGAGCAAATGGATTATTATTTTAGGAGATTTTCCAGTTTCCTTTATTTTTACTGTTCTGATTAAATCAGTGTGTCATCAAACGCCAACACAACTTTTACTAACCAGTGACAGTATTTCCTGAACATTTACACCTTTTTAATAACATGTAATTTAAAAAAGGGCTTGAGTTATTTTTTTTCTCCAGCAGAAGTCGTTTTACATTTTCTTAGAAGAAAATGAAGAATAAAGCTGTTAGGTTCAGTGCCTTAAAAGAAGATTCAGAGCACACACTGCTGCTGCAGGGGGGATTGTTCTACATCTGAGAGACACCCACAGATGGCAGGATGCCCCCCAGGGACCTGTTTCAGGACCATATGCTCTGTTTTGCCGTTGACTCTCTGTCCCAACAACTGTTGCACCGTGCTGACCTTCAACCTCAGAACTGATTCTGAAAGTCACAGCTGATGTGTTCGGCAGGGGCGCCAGCGG